TTAAAAATAAATTTATTCATTTCTGACTGTGGAAATATAGATATACATACTTTCCCCTGAATAATAAGCAGCATTCTATCTTTTCCTGTTTTAGAACAATTTATTTATTTATTTATTTTATTAATTCAATTTATATACCACCCTTCTCCCCAGGGGGACTCAAGGTGGTGGACAGCCAAACTTAAAACACATATAGTACAAAAGTTAAGAAAAAAGTTAAAATAAATTAAATCATTGGCATTTCCAATTTAAATCCCAGATCTGCAAAATCGAAAAGTTCCCAATTTAAAACCCAGAATCAATAAAATCAAAAATTTAAAACCCCCATTAAAACCATTTAAGCTAGGCTAGCTTGTTGGAATAAATAAGTCTTCAGGGCCTTTCGGAAAGCGTGGAGGTCCGGGATCAGTCGTATTCCAGGAGGTAGCTCATTCCACAGGTTGGGTGCCCCCACAGAGAAGGCTCTCCCCCTGGGGGCCGCCAGCTGACATTGCTTGGCCGACGGCACCATGAGGAGGCCCTCTCTGTGCGAGCGTACTGGCCGGTGGGAGGTTATCGGTAGCAGCAGGTGGTCTCGCAGGTATCCCGGCCCTATGCCATGGAGCACTTTAAAGGTGAGAACCAACACCTTGAAGCGCACCCGGAAGACCACTGGGAGCCAGTGCAGCTCGCGCAGGAGAGGTGTTACGTGGGAGCGCCCTGTGGCTCCCATAATCACCCGCGCGGCCGCATTCTGGATCAGTTGAAGCCTCTGGGTGCACCTCAAGGGGAGCATGTAGAGTGTGTTACAGTAGTCCAGGCGAGACGTTAATTAATTAATACCTTTACTTGATTTGCAGGCCTTGAGCAGATAATATTATATTTCCATGCTCCTCATAATGTTGGAAAAATTGGAAGGAAGGAAGAAGGGAATGACCGTAGAAGATGGAAGAATTACTGCAGCAGTAGGTGCATGATCGGGAAACCCGAAAAACCCGAAAAACAAGTTAGGGAGCGGGTCTTATCTATGTGGTTGCTAAGATTCACTACCAACTGGTTGGACATAATCAATCACACCTCTACACTGACTATCTATCTTGCATGTTCTACTCTGTGGGGGGGGGGGTGTCTTACTTTTTTCTGTACTTTGACTGGTTATTATTATTATTGTTGTTGATGATGATGATGATTCTGTTGTAAAGTTCATCAGGTTCTTGTGAATCGGACAGTTTATAAATCATTGTATGAACAAATACACTTGGAAAGGGGGATTTAGGGATGTTAAGGGGCAAAATGGATGCCCTAAACATCTGCAAGAGTTAAAAACTTCTGCACCCCTTGAAATATAAGAATGTGAGAGTTTTACTTTTTTTAAAAAAATAAATCACCATGAGTATAAAGAAAAAGAGGCAAAGGTGGAAAGAATAAAATAATATTCAAATAAAATAGGGATTAGCATTTTCCAATAGATTATTAATTACTTAGGAATGATAAAATGTATCACTTAAAAAAATTATGAATCACTATTAAGCTTGAATCTTAGGAATACATTTTAGAAATCCTAAACATTTCGATCAATACATTAAGTCAAACATTTGGTCCCACCAACTCTGGGGGGACAGAGGAGGACACTGGGGACCTGCACTCCTGGGTTAGGCAGGATAGTGGTAGCATTTCCTAAGGTAGCACAAAAGGAAGACTTTGGTCTAGTGCAGGGGTCTGCAACCTTAAACACTCAAAGAGCCATTTGGACCCGTTTCCCACAGAAAAAAAACAAAACACCGGGAGCCACAAAACCTGGGTGGGCGTGGCCAACTCCACGTCACTCACTCTAACCCAGTCACATGACCCCCCCCCCAGCCACGCCTACCCAGCCGGTCATTAGGGCAGAAAACTGGAAACCACAAAATCCCTTTCTTTTTTTCTGTCTCTCTCTCCCCCCATCTCTGTCTCTCTCTCTCTCCCCTCTCCCTCTCTCTCTGCCTCTCTCTCTATATCTATGTCTTTCTCTCTCCCCCTTTTCCTCTTCCCTCTCTCTCTGTATCTCTTGGATTTCCAAGGCCAAGAGAGGAGTGACTGGGAGGGGAGGGTGAGGGGCGGGGCTAGCCAGTGATGGGACAGGGAGCCGCAGCAGAGTGCCCAAAGAGCCACATGCGGCTCCAGAGTTGCAGGTTGCTGACACCCGGTCTAGTGGTTAAGGCATTAGGCTAGAAAGCAGGCGACTATGTTCTACTCCCGTTTTAGGCACAAAACACCACTGGATGACATCGCCAGGTCTTGCTGCTTTAGCAGACTAAGAAAGATACTCAGAGATGATTCACACCCTGGTCAGTGTCTCTTCGCACTTCTACCATCGGGCAGAAGACATCGAAGCATAGCCAGCCAAACAAATAGGTTTAAAATTAGTTTCTAACCTTGAGCTGTCAGACTCTTAAACACAACCACAATCACTCCATGCACACGCAGGAACATATGATTAGTTTTTCTTTTTCTTTCTCCCCCCCCACTAATTACTTGCATAGGGATTATTCTTTATACTATTTATGTTGTTTGTATTTTTTGCATGGATTGCACCAGTGAGGCTAAAACCAATTTTGTTATATATGATGTACAATGACAATAAATGTTATACTACTAAAAGCCAGCTGGGTGACTATGGGCCAATCATCAGGAGATTGTGAATTCTAGTCCCGTCTTAGCCATGAAATCTAGTTGGATGACTTTGGGCCACTGACTTTGTCTCAGCCCAACTGTTGTTGATATGGGGTAAATAAGAAGAAAGTGCATTGGATATGTTCATTGTTTATTTGTAAAAATAATAAAGACGGGATACAAAATAAATAAATCAGAAGATGCTTTTGGGTCAACTGTGGGGGTTTTTTTGGTTCCTTAGAGTCGATCTTGACTCCTGGCAGCTGTCTGGACAAGTCCCTGCAATTTTCTTGGCAATATTGTTTTTGGCAATTGACTTGCCACTGCCAACTTCCTAGGGTTAAGAGAAAGTGACTGGCTCAACATCACCTAGCTGGGTTTCTGCCTAAGGTGGGACTAGAATTCAGGGTCTCCCAGTTTCTAACCTGATACCTTTATCGCTACACCAAACTGATTCTCTTTGTGTTGGAGAACAATTCAGCTGCCAATAATTTCATTTGGTTACTGAAATGGATGCTGGGCAGCCCAAAAAATTCTTACCCAGATTGCAAATGTTTCAATTTTTGCCTCCAGGTTTCAACATTCTGGATTTACGTACTTTCCACCAGGCCCTCAAGACTTTTTTATTTCAATAAGCCGGGCTGGCCTAACTTCTCCAATTTTAATTTTAATTTTAAATGGGATATTTTAATTGTTGGGCCAAATTGTTTAATATATTTTAAATTGCTTTTAAATTTTTGTATTCTATGTTTTTTACCTTTGGCTGTTCACCGCCCTGAGTCCTTCGGGAGAAGGGCGGTATATAAATTTAAATATAAATAAATAAATAAATAAATAAATAAATAAATAAATAAACATTTCCAGAAATTTTGCATCTCTAGGAATCCTCGTCAGAGGATTGTTCCGTACACCTGGGGAAGAAGGCTGTGTCTATGGGTACTTGGAAACTTTCCAGATTTTGTGCTTGAAACAACAACAACAACAAATAATAATGAAATTTTGACTTTGGGATTTGCCGATTAGATAGGTTTGTTATTATAGAAATGGCCACTATATACTAAGTATGCAAAAATAAAAAGTTGAGGCTGGAATGTTATTACTTTTATTCCACTGCCCTGAAGAGTTGGAAGTTAATGCCTTTTTCTGTTTCTCCCCTTACCTCCACACTGCTTTTTCCCCAATTTCCCCATTGTTTTTATTTTCATTTTCATTTTATATTTGGATAGGTTTAATACAAATATACAGGTAGTCCTCAACTTATGACCACAATTGAGCCCCAATATTTTTGTTGTTAAGTGAGACATTTGCTAAGTGAGTTTTGGCCCATTTTACGACATTTCTTGCCACAGTTGTTAAGTGAAGCCGGCTTCCCCATTGATTCTGCTCATCAAAAGCTTGCAAAAAGTGACCACATGACCTTGGGACACAGCCACGGTCATCAGTATGAACCAGCTGCCAAGCATCTGAATTTTAATCACATGATCATCCGGCGGCTACAAAGGTCGTAAAGTGTGCAAAATGGCCATAGCTCACTTTTTTCAATGCTGTTGTAAGTTTGAATTGTCACTAAATGAACTGTTGTAAATTGAGGACTACCTATATATAGGACCCCATGGCAAAGAGCGTTGACCCCAAGGGTGAAATCCAGCAGGTTCTGACAGGTTCTGGAGAACCAATAGCGGACATTTTGAGCAGTTCAGAGAACCGGCAAATACCACTAGCTGGCCCCAGAGTGGGGTGGGAATGGAGATTTTGTAGTATCCTTCCCCCAGGAGTGGGGTGGGAACAGTGGTGGGTTGGTTCAGACTGGTTCTATAGAACCTATAGTAAAATCGGCGGGAGGCTCCACCCACCAACCCCAATGTCATCAGAACGGTTGTGCGCATGCACAGAAGAGCGCGCGGGTGAGTGAAGCGAACCAGTAGTAAGGGTAGGTAGAACCCACCCCTGGGTGGGAATGGAGATTTTGCAGTATCCTTCCCCTGGAGTGGGGTGGGAATGGAGATTTTGCAGTATCCTTCCCCTGCTACGCCCACCAAGCCACCCCTACAGAACCGGTAGTAAAAAAAATTGGATTTGGTTGACCCCCTCTCCCAAAAGGCTCCCTCCAAAATGGCTATGACTTTCCAGCCGGGATTTCCTCGTGGTGTGTTATCCAAGCCTGGGCCTGCTCCCAGAGCCCCCACCTAAGGGCGCCCACGTGCCTCCGCCTGAGGAGAAAGAGGCGGGGGTAGGCGGGTGGGCGGAGCCCGCGTGAAAAGCGACGCACAGGAGGGCGGAGGAGGCGGCGCCTAGGCCAAGGGCGCGGCGCAGGCGCACCTGCGCGGCACCAGCGGGCGGGGCTGCTTTCCCGGCGGGCCTTGTGGGTTGGTGGGAGGCCTCCTGCTGAGGGGAGTCGCAAAAGTGCCGACGCCGCTTCTGCTGCTGCCGCTGCCGTCACTGCTTTCCCGCCGGCCAGCTCCGGTTTCGAGGCTGGGCGTCGCGGGCAGGAGGCCCAGCTCGGCTCTTCCTCTTCGGCCGCGGCTCTGGCCCGACTCCGCGCCCTGACGCAGGCAGAGGGGCCTCCCCGCCCAGGCCGTGTGGGAGGCGCCCGGCCCGCTCAGCGCCTGGCCCTTCAATGCTGCCGGTGGGTAAGCGAGGCGGCCGCGGGTGAGGGAAAAGGGAGGCCTCTGGCCCAGGAAGCGGGGCGGGGGGGGGGAGTTGTGCTCCGACGCCGTTGGTGGCCGGTTCGGGGGGACGCGGGGCGGCTCCGGGGTGACATTGAAGGCGCGCGAGCTCCGGGGGCAGTTGGGAGCTGGAGGGCGGGAGACGAAGCCGGCGAGCGGGGCGAGGCCGGGACCTCATCTCGCGCGTGAGGGGACGAAGGCCGTCTGGGCTCCGGGGGCGGCGGTGCTGGAGTCCTCCCCGGCTCCCCTCCAGGAAGCGCTGGCGGGAAAGGGGCACCTTTGTGGAAACCAGCCGGGCCACAAACCCCGTTTTTAGGACATGGGCAGATCCGGTGAAGGATTCTCAAGTGACCTTCTCTTCCCCCACCGAGAGCCAGGCTTTCTGGAGCGCGGCTGCCCTTGGAAGGCAAAGATGGCAGCCTTGGGTCAACGAGGAAAGTCGGGTGCCTTTGGGGCTTAAGAGAAACGGGAGGCAAAGGGCACCTGGGGGGCGGGTGAGGGCTGAGAAAGGTTTCACCTGGAGCGCCCCCGGGGACGGGAGAGAGAGCCGCCGAGATCATCTGGTTGGAGCCACCTGTGGCATGGGCATCCTAGTCTGGGAAGGGGAACAAAATGGAGGCTGGATAGGAGGCAGGTTTGGGAAGAGCTGTGCAGAGTTAACTGGCAGCACGGCTGCAATAGGGGGGAGTTAGCTCTAGGCTAGGGCGATGTAGTAAGAAAGAGGCGGTGGTTATGTAACAATAGATGGAGTTTGGCGCTTAAGACGTTGAGGAAGTGTGAGAGCTGCCCATATACCAGAGGTCTTCAAACTTGGCCGCTTTAAGACTTGTGGACTTCAGCTCCCAGAATTCTCCAGCCACCTATGCTATGCTGGAGAATCCTGGGAGTTGAAGTCCACAAGTCTTAAAGCGGCCAAGTTTGAAGACCTCTGCCATATACAGTAGGCATGTGCTCCTTGATAATTAAAAGGCCAAGGAGAGAGTGCAAACAGAACGTGGGGTGGGAGAGGGTAGTTAGAAATGGGATAGCAAAGTTGGGTGAGAAAAGCCCAGCAGAGACAGATAATGGGGAGTCGAGGCAGTCCGTTAGGGCTAAAATATTCCCGGGGTAAGGGTCTTTTAGAAGCCTAGAAAAAAAAATGATGTACAAAAAAATATTTATATTAAGTGGCTGGCTCCCATCTCTCTCTCTCTCTCTCTCTCTCTCTTTTATTTGTTTGCTTCAAACTTTTTTTTTTTTTGCCTTGGGAGAGGTCTTTCTGAGGTTGATTTCAGTCTCCATGGACAGGTTGCTAGTTTCAGTTCGCTCTTGTGTAAATTGAAAACGAAGAGGAGACTTGCCCACTTCCTGTTGAATGAGCAGAAGTGGTTGTGACTCAGAACTGCAGTAGTAAGGAAAACTAGGCACCTCCTCTTGTGACTCAAAGTGCAGAAATGGGCTTTGGTCAGTCCTTCGTGAGAAAGGCTTGTTTCTATGAGATTGGAAGGGAAAGAAGATGATAGGATCTCTTTAGGACACCTTGGCCTGTTGATTCATTTTGCAGGTCTGCTGAAAGTTTTCTATTTATTTATAAGAATAATGAAGTCTGATTTTTTTTTCACTCTTAACATTTACTCATTAAAAGCATTGTTTTCAATTGCTTACTTAAAGGTCTTTTTTAAAAAAATATGATACTGATACTGGTGTTGAAGAGAAAAGTTCCTTTAAAAGTAATTCATTCTATAATCACAGAAAATATATTAATATGAGTTATGCATTTTTGTTCCAAAAATTAGAATATTTTAATTCATTAAAAAAAAAGTGTCATTAAGCTTCTTAAATATTTCACTCAAAATCAAAAATATACCTAAATAAAGTGTAATTTGTTAAGAAAGCTGCCAAAGAGCCTTGGTAACACAGTGGACTAATGCACTGTTATTAACATCTGCTGCTTGCAATTACTGCAAGTTCAAATCCCACCAGGCTCAAGGTTAACTCAGCCTTCCATCCTTTCAAAGGTAGGTAAAATGAGGACCCAGATTGTGGGGGCAATAAACTGACTTTGTATAAATATACAAAAGTATGAAGGCTATAGCTTAACGCATTGTAAGCCGCCCTGAGTCTCTGGAGAAGAGTGGCATATAAATTAAAGCAAAAAAAAAAAAAAACCTCTAGGAATTGATTTAAACTATGAGAATTGAGTATGACTTAACAGGAACACTTGTCACAAAAAGTTGTTCCTATAAAGCTAAAGTGCATATAATCTATCTTCTGCCAGTCACTGTACTTTGCCCTACTGTGGAATGTTGTGCTGGTTAACTGACAGAGAGTCCAGAAGGAAAAAGAATATGTGGCTGTAAAGTCATCTAATTTGAATAAAGACTTTGTGGTTCTGTCTGAAGTAAGCTATAATATTCTTTTACTAACAAGTAATTTATTTGATACTTTATTAGATACTGTACTAAAACTATTTTTAAAAAAGTATCAACTTTCAAATTTGGGGGAGGGAATTGGAATTGAAATTTCAGCTTTATTTTCAATTCTGTCTTTTACAAGTGGAATGTTACTGTGATCATTTCTTAAAATGAAGAAATTTTGTACCATTTAGAAAATCCAGTTTTTCTTTCTAAAGAAAGAACTGGGGGAGAGGGGGAAGACACCTTTCATCATACAGCACAGAAGTTCTGCATTTTGTTACTGGAAGGAGTTGGGATGCATTTTCCTCTGGTTTTTTTGGGGGGGGGGATAAGAAACTTTATTCAGATTGGTGGATAATGTGATTTTTGCGAAAGAAATGGGACAAAGCAGCACAAGTATAGATAGTTGATTTATAAAAAAGCACCCAAAATTGCATTTAAAGAATTGGTACATCTTGAAGTAAATACAACAGGAATGTTTACATTGGAATAACAATTTTGTAGAAGATTATGTTTACTTGGAGCTACCTACAATGATAGTCCAATGCATGAAATCTGTTTCTATATCTAACCACCACACACAGGATACTACAGGGGAAATTTTGTTATTCTGTCATAGTGACTTCTGATAAAATGCTAAGCTAAATGGACTTTTAGTCTGTGGCGTGAATGATAAGTTGTCTAATATGGAAATGATCTTAAATAGCTTGCTTGTTCAGTAAAAATATATAACCTTTTACAATCATGCTGCATTTTGACCTTTATCTCACAAAATTCTCCAAACAGTAAACTTAATTTCTGAAAATGGATTTATACTAACTTGTTTGTGTGATCTGGAGGTACACCAATATAATTAGTCATTTGGGTAAATAGAATTGTTGACATTGGTCATAGAAGATGATGGGTCAACAGCTTCTAGAGGCTGACATGTGAAATATACCTGAGGGATGACATGTTGAGAGAGTTGTTTCTGTAAATATATTTTATTTCCATTCTGCCACATACCTTTCCCCCCTGCAAATTGGAACTGCATATACTGGAAACACATTCTCTCAAAATTGTAATTGGAAATCTTACAATAATTTATGGATCTAAATTATTTGCTTTTGAAATTAATTTGCACTTCCTTCATTAGCAGAACTAATTTCATGCATTATTTCCATACTTCAGAAGTGAGTTCTGTATTTGCAGTTTTCTAGGTCTTTTCCACATCATGTAAGGTTTGTTGAATTCTGTTGATATAGATGATATATTGAAAATAAATGGCCATTAATCAGATTACTGCAGTATGGAAAATTCTCCAGTGTTTTTATTTTTCCATGGAAAATTTTCTGTTCTACATCACTGATGTGGCTAATTTGTATTGGGTAATTTGCATCATAAATTTTCCAGTGCAATCTGAAAATTGCCTTATGCAAATTATCTTGAACAATTTGCATGGTGTACTTTTCCAAAATATTTCTCTGTTCAGTGTTTTGTAGAAAATATGCATCATTGCAATGTAAACGTGTTGGGGACAATTCTTTATATTTCTTTTATAAGTACTGTAATATTTTATCTTTGGTGTAGAATCTTAACAGCTTATTACCTAACCCATCTGGGCTCCTAGAAATTTGGCACTGACACCTAGAAACCTGAGGTGTTGATAAGCCCCTAAATGCGCATACGCCTCCCTTCTGTTTTTTTCTGTAACATTTAGTAACAAAAACATATTTCAGTATCTTGCTTTTTCATAATTGCTTTCAGGCTGCTAATATTTCAGTATAGCAAGTAAGATACTTGATACCTGTATTCATGATTTATATAAATTAAGATTAATTTCTCAATGTTTACAGCCCAGTGAAAAATTATTCTTGGTGAAATTATCACTAATTACGAAATGCTATTAGTATATTGTTTAATATAGAACAATATTCATAACATGCCCTCAAACCAAATTACCACTGAATAGTGGTTCCACTTGTAGCATCCTCTATCCTGTAGGCAGACATTAGGCTATTTTGAATGTTTAATTTTTATGTTATTTTGTTGAATGTAAGTCACTGGACCCTTTAATGAAAATGAATCGATCATTTTTTTAAATTCCAAGTTTATAACTTTATAAATTAAATCTACAGGCTGCCCAGTTCATTATGACTCTGAGCACTGTATAAGTTAAGAATACATTCAGTAGAATAAGATGAAAGATAAGATGGACCAATACACCCAACATATTACAACAGTACGGGTAGTCCTCAATTTACGACCACAATTGAGCCCAATTGCTAAGTGAGACAGTTGCTAAGTGAGTTTCTCCATTTTATGACCTTTCTTGCCACAGTTAAGTGAACCACTGTAGTAGTTAAGTTAGTAACAAGGTTACTAAAGAGAAAAGTGAAACAAAGTTTACCTACTTCTGAATGTGAAAAGGCTTAGTTATTATAGGAAGTTAAGCTGGAGGAGAGCCTGAATACCTGAATGCAATGAGAATTATACACCTTTATCTATGCTAACAGGTGGGAATCTGGCTTGTGCTTAAAATCCTGATGAAACATACCTGCACACTTGTTCTGAACTTGCTGAGAGGTGGTACTGTTTGATCATGATTAATATAGCTAGCAACAATCTAAAGGCTGCTGCTGTTATTTCTAAAATGTTAAAAGTTTTCCCCCCAAGAAACAATATTCACAATATATCCTTGAAAATGTCTATTGATCTGACAAGAAGAAGAGCCCCACAATTTTTTAATGTTACTATTTGTGGAAGTTCATATTACCCACATGGAAAATAATGAAATGTGGAACACAGTAAGGAACAGAATGAGTTCAGATAAGCTAAAAAGTATTCAGTGTCTGGCTGATGGGTTAGCAGCTTGTAAACTTGCTTCCAGAAGTTGTGGGTGCTTCATCACTAGAGGTTTTTTTTAAAAGAGATTGGAAAACCATTTGTTTGAAATGGCATAAGTCTCCTGCTTGAGCAGGGGGTTGACCTCCAAAGTCCCTTTCAACTCTATTATTCTGATAGGACACTGAATTAGAAGTTGGGCACAAAAAAAGTAAGTGCATCTGAATTAAATGGACAACATTATCAAGGTACTTTTTAAATTTTCTGTCTTGTTAGCAATGAAACTTAGTATTTGTTCCAGGACTTGCTTATGTTTTTAATCAACCTGGGCTTCTGTTATCTAGTATATGTTAGGACTACAGTTCTCAAAAGTTAGCATTGCCATCGGTCATGCTGTTTGGAAATTCTGAGCTGTAGTTTCAGTGCAGCTGGAGGCTATCCAGTTTTGGGGAAGACTGTAATGAGTTAAGCTTAGCTAATGTTTAACCATGTTCCTGTCATGTCATCCCCAAGCTCTGTGTTTCCTAATTATTGTAAACTGAGGACTACCTGTAACTGCTTCTGACAACAGTTTTTAATACACAAGCAAGAAAAGAGGAAATATCACTTCCTGCTTTCATGCCGTTCTTTTGATTATGGCCATGCTGGAGTTTAATCAAAGTGCTAATGATTAAGTTTGGGAATGAGGGGGCAGAGACCATAGTTTCAAGAAATGAAACTATCAACCTTGACAATCCAGAGTCTGCTGGTATTACCAGGTAAATTGCTTTATGACTCTTCTTATAAGAAGAATAAAATGGAAATATTTTTTTTAAAAAAGGTAAAGAAGAATCAAAATTAAAAGAAATCAGGATATTTTAAAAGATCAAAAAAGGATCTTTTTACACATGGTTTTATTCTATATTTATTTAATATATTTTCTTGTATATATTCTATTTTACTTTGATATTTATTAAGCAATCCTCATAAATTAAAATAAGTAATACAGAACCTTGGATTTCCAACAGTATTTTCTAAATAATGTGATCCATGTCTCAAAGATGGTCTTGAAAAATCATATATAGTCATCTTTAATTATTTTTCTACAGGGTACTAATCTTTTTGATGAGGTTATATTATACACAGTTTATACATTCTTAGTGCAGTTTCAGGTTTGCAAATAGTAATACCATCTCAGTTTCTGAAGTGATGGTTTCCTTTGCTAGTCTGTGATATTTTTCTGTGGTTACAATGCTGCATATAAACAAATATATTTCATTTTGTGTTTGCTCACCATTGGCCACCTCTGTTACTATGGTTTGAATCATTTTTTAAAATCATACAGTAGTTGCAGGCTGTCCTATTGTGACATAGGCAGTTGGAAAAATGAAAAGTAGAAGAGGTTAAAATTCTGTACTATTCTATAAACTACCCATTAGAAGTCTAATCCCTTAGGGATTGTTAAGGAGAACTATAGCAAGAGCATTCCTTTATGCAAGCAGTAGTTGTTTTATAAATCTCTTCTCACTTGTAACTATATTGTTAATTGATTCCCTAGTGTCAGTTGATAGTTTCTTTGCATTCAGTGTTGTTTCAAGCTGTTTGTCTAGAAAATGGCTTCCCCTCCCTTCCCTGGCTATTGGACCATTTTGAGATTCTATGGGGACCTGAATGCTTTACATGTATTGATAGGCAAGGAGAAAATTGAACAACAGCATTGCAAAGCAGTCTTTATGCCTCAAAATCCCCTTTCACACTGCCAACATTTTCTACATTTTATTAAGCTGTGTCCGTTTCAGTTTATCTTTGCCAGTCTGGTATATTTTCTAGGTATTGAACTTCATCAGCTATAATCTGCAGTCAGCACAATTGAAGATCATGTTACTTGGGACTTGAGCTGTGGTCCCATACATCTAAGCTTTAAATCCTAGTAGTAGTAATGACACTGGAAAATGTGAGGGAATGTTTCTGTGGCACATGGTTTTTGCACATTGGTCTTTCCTTCCTTCAAAGTAGTCTTTGAATCTGAAAGGCACTATGCCCACATATCTGTGCCACCTTCTCCATAAAATGTGGTAGGGATAGAATTGTGAAATCCACTTGGTTGTATTTCTCCAATAGATGAACATGATAGACTGTTGCAGACATTTGTACACCTGCAAAACTCTTTGTAATAGCTAAATTGTTTTCACACATAATCCATAAAATTTAGGTGTTTTCAGCATTTCTAGGACATGGCTAGTTTTTTGTCTTTGATTAAAAAGCCTTCTCCATATTCAGATTGGGTTGAGGGTGCTTACCTGGGATTGTGTAAACAGGCTACTGAAGTGATTAAAGTGCTTACCTGGAAATGTATAACAGGCTACTGAAGCATGCAGTCCCTTCCTTAGTATATTGTCTTGGGTAATGTACGTCACAACCTTGGTAAAGATCAACACTGAAGTGAGGCAGGTTAGAATTTCCTAGTATTTGTTTTATGTTGTGCGTCATGGAACACACTGCCTTGTGAAAATGTGAGCTGAGCTGGCTTTCAGCTTCCTCCTGACATGACTGCTATACATACGCTTGATGCAAACAGAGCACTTAACAAAGCCCTCCATTCTCATATCTTGACACTAAATCTTCCATAAGCAGCCTGTGAAAGGTAACAATTTTTTAACCAGTGCATTAAGCCTCATTGAAAGGCAGAATTAGTTCTAAATCTGCATAAAGGGGGAATTAGCACCATGTATCATCTGTAGAAGGCTATATGTGTCAGGTAATATGAAAGTTGCTTCTTTCGTACATGCAGTCTTTAAAAATCTATCAATGCCTCTCCATAAGCCTAGATACTTTCTTCCTTGTCTTTTAGGTTTTCCATTTGAATCCAAGCCACACATTTATGGCGATTCTGAGTGTCAGGGCAGATTTCTGCCGGGCCCAGCACAGCACCCTGGCTGAGAAGTGAGCTGGAGACTGGGGTCCCTCGTGGGGTAACTCAACCTGGCCTTGAAGACTCAAGACACTGGGAGAGAATCTTCAAATATATGGGGTTATCTTCTGTACATTGGAAACCTCTTCCTCTTAGTGACACTAGAGAAGCAAAGCCTGGCTGAACTCCGTTGGAGAGAAGACTTGTTCTTACAATTTTCTTTGTGCCTCACCAGTGCCTAAATGTCGTCAAGGCTGCCTATTTTTTGCATGTAGTAGAAACCTGCAAAATCTGAAGGAGTGCCACCTGCAGTGATTGAGGCTGAAGTTGAATTCCAGCAGATGCTCAAGAAAACCAGTATTTCTTAAAGTGAAAAAATATTTTGAAGAACAAGACCAAGGAAATAAGGAAAGCTCTCACCAATTCCCCACTTTAGTAGTCTTTGATGTTTTCTGCTGTGAAACATTGCACAATTTGATTTTTAATTTTTAATTTTTGTTAGCCCTCATACATTTTCCTCCCTTCGCCATTATGAACCGTCCTGCTCCAGTGGAGATTACTTATGAGACTATGCGCTTCCTGATTACCCACAACCCAACCAATGCAACCCTCACCAAATTCACAGAGGTAAGAGGGGTATCCATCTATGATGTATAAAGTTTGAAGCATTAGAAAAAGTATTGAGAGATGGAGAAATGGAAAGGAGGAAGAAAAGGGCATATCAAAAGAAGAATAAAGTAATTTTATGTAGCCCATTCATAAAAATCCCCTTTCTGTTGATTCACAGATTATTGAAAAGAATTCATTCTTTTAAAAGTACAGCCCCCGTGGGTTCCTACCAAAAAAGGGGCCCTCTTTCATAGAAACTATATGGAGCAGATAATAGCTATGGTGAAACTACTACACATAGTGATAACAAGAGGTCCCGCCATTGCAGTGTCCCCACAGTCACATGAACAAAATTCAGGCCCACTCACTTTTACAACCACTACTACCACCCCCGTCACTGACTTTCATTGTCTTCACCTGCCTCCCTTATGCTGGGCTATGCATGCTGGCCATGCACTCGTAGGTGAAAGCTATAGGAGGAGAGTGTGTGGGCTGCACTATATGTTCCACTACTGGCTGGCTCCTTTTTTCTGGCAAGCTTCCCAGCTGGTAGTGCCAGCTGGGTGGTAGAAGCATTTGGTGGCAGCAATTAAGTAGGTGGCCAAAAGGGCAGAGATAAGTAGGTGGAGATGCATTGAAGTAGAGGCAGCCCCTTTCTTTCAATAATGTCTTGGATCTCATTGAGTCCTCACTTAACTATGTGAGATTCGCTCAGCAGCAACTGGGATTGCTGGTACCACCATTGCTAAACAGAGTAGTCAAATGAGGTTTTGCTTAATGTCTGTGTCACTTAGTGATGAACCTGCCAGTCCCAATTTAGGTAGTTAAGTGAGGAGGAGTTGCACTTCACCATATCTAAGCTAGTCACTTTAACTATTCTATTTCAGTCTATTTCAACTTTTAAAATAAAGGAACTGTGTCATTCCTTTGACTTGCTTTGAAGAGACCACTATTGACCCTGTATAATTGTCAGCAATTGACAGTTTACATAATAAAGGACTATGATGAAAATAAATTTTTTCCCTTTCTTTGGTATGTTTAACACCTAAATAGAGTCCCATTTTGCAAAACTGACTAATATGTTTTCCTGTTTTCTCCCAAAGTCTCTGTCAGATACTGCTCAGGATCTCACAAATTCTCTGAGCTGGTAGACAAATTTGCAGGTTAAAAATGTGTGATGGACATTTCATAAGATGGTTGCAAAATAATCATATGTTAGAATGCACGCAGTACTAAGCAGCATTGACCCACTGCCATTTTATTGTTCTAAAAATGCCTTGAGCATTTAAACTCCATAGTTAATAGTTCTGCCTTAGGCACAAAAGCCAGCTGGATGACTTTGAGCCTGCCATTTTCTCAGCCTTAAGAAGTCACTTCTGAAAATGCTGCCAAGAAATTGCAGATTTGTGTAATCACCAGGAATCAGGATTTAATTGATTGACACCTCCCCAAGAATCCCTTTTGCTAATGGGGTCCAGAGGCTTTGTTGGAAATGCAGAACAAGTTTGAGATGAATGTCTTGCTTTGCAGAATGCTAGTTTCCCTTAATTTTTTTTATCAAGTTTTTAATTTTATATTACATATACATATCAATGCCTGAACAGTGTGACACCTGGGTGCCGTACATTTCAGTACAGATAAAATAATATTATTGATCATAAATTATCACATCCATCCAGCTTATATATTTCTAGTAGAATACACATTTATATCAAATTATAATATTTCATTATTTCATATTGTTTAAACATACATAATATTACCGCCGTTCAATTTCTAAACCTCCCTCTTATCATTGCACTTGTCTTATTTTATAAAAATGTGTATACTAATATTCCCCCTTTCTCTTATTTCTGTCTTCATTCTAACTTTTATTCATGTCACCATTATATTAAAAGACGTTCCCTTTGTATTACAATACTATCCTTCATTATTTCATTGTTCAATATTTAAATATACAATTTTAATACCAATCACAATATTATTTAAACATGCAAATTAATTCTATTCATATTCTTTACATTCTTCCAATCTATATGATTCCACTAATAATACACCAGTTTGTATTAAAATATGTTCTTTCATCATTTTATTACTCATTATTTCATTTTATTATTCCACTACAAATCATATTATTTAAACATACTCAATAATACCATTATTCAATCTCTAATTTTCTCATTTTTAATATTTAGTTCTTATTCATATTTCCCATATTTCATTTGAATCTAATTATATTAAAATACTATCCTTCATTGTTTCACTATTCAATGTTTCAATATACTTTCTAATACCAATCACAATATTATTTAAACATACAAAATATCTATATTTTTTGCTTTCATCCAATCTATATAATTCTAGTATTAATACACGTTTATATTAAAATGATTGATTTGATTGATCAAACATTATTAATTTTATTGATGACTCGTTATCTTCTTTTTGTTGATTCCTCAATTCTGTTTTTTCCTCTATTCCTTCTGGTAGCTCCTTCCGTTTCTGGGCATCTTGGTCATTGCTCATGGTCCTTTGTATAATATTTTCCAATTTTTGATCTATGCCATCCATTAATTCCATAATCGCCTTATGTTCTTTCTGTATCATATCCTTTATGCTTTGAAACATCCAGCCCATCTCATTCAAATTTCGGCTCGTTTCCTCCTTATGTTGCATCTTATCTTGTTTAATAAATTCCACTTTTGGCCAGTAGCCCAAGAACCATTTGTTCAAACCTGAGGTTGCTCTTCAAAGTATACACTAATCACAGTTCTTTATGTTCCATAAGTAGTCAGTTAGTTCCATTTTCATAGTCCAGGGAGTTATCCAAGCCTCTTTAAGTCACTTTTATAGATTCAGTCACATAACTTAACATTCAGGGATCACTTTAATTAAATATCTTCCTTGTTCTCACATTTAAATCTCCAGTGATCATAGGATAGATATAATAGTCCAGTAAATATTTTCACAGTCCTTTAAATGGGTATTCCCAGGCTTGTATATTTTCCTTTCACCAGCAGGTGGCACTCTCAGGTTAATTTTCAATATTATTACTAATAATCTGGTTTTAATTATTTTAAACTGTAATACAATTATAGAAGCAGTATTAATTTTTTAAGTCAGTAATTTCAGCATTTTAAATTGCCTTCCCAATGTCACGTCTTTCCAATTTAAGAGTCCAATTTCCTACGTTTTTGAAGAATTTGTTTTCTTTCTCTTTAATCCTTTCCGGTATGGTAGTTTTCTCAAAGTGTTTGATCGCCGCTTTAACAGATCGTTCTGAGTAAACCCTAGATTTCTCTTGTAGGGTTAACTTTCAGGTAAAAAAAAAATCCTCTCACCCAGTTCCACACTGTTCATCAAAATCTGCTCCAACTCAAAGCTTAGATCAGTGGTTCTCAACCTGTGGGTCGCAACCCCTTTGGGGGTCGAACAACCCTTTCACAGGGATCGCCTAAGACCATCGGAAAACACATATTTTCAATGGTTTTAGGAATAATTTTATGGTGGAGGGTTACCACAACATGAGGAACTATATTAAAGGGTTGCGGCATTAGGAAGATTGAGAACCACTGGCTTAGATGGTCATTGGCTGTCCCAGCTTTGTGGCAGCCATCTTAGGCTGTCTCTTCTCCTTGTCGTGGCTGAGAGGGAAAGGAAGCCCCGGGTCAGGTAGGACAGCTGCGACTCTCCCGAGACCTTGCAGGGCGTTCCTGTTCGCTTCACCGCCCCTCCAAGGCGGCTTTGGCTCCTTTTGGAGCCCATCAAGGGGAGAACTCGGCACGGAGACATGGAGACCAGCTGTCTGTGTCCGATCTCACCGCAACATCAACCGGAAGCCTTACCCTTAATTTTTTTAATGATAAGATTTGCAACTAAATGAAATGATTTGCTTACTCTAACAATTATTGCCATAGATTACTATCAGAAAGTATTTCTGGCAGTATTTCAGACAAGTAAAGTTTGATGGCTGTCCAAACAAGGCAACCAAACATTTCCATGTAAATGAGATTAGTAGAGCTGGTGGTAGTAGTTAGTTTTGTTCTTCCTCATTGTGGGGCTCTTGTTTATGTTGGGGACACTTATCATTTGTGATCTTTCTTATCTCTAATTAAAAAAGTCATTCTTAAATATTCTTTCTTTTAGGTTGTTGATAAAGCTTGCTTGTCTGTTTCCTTCTCTATACATATAAACAATATTGTTAAAGCAAAGCAGTTGTTTTGATAAAGTCACTGTAACCTGTGGGCTTCTGTTAAAAGAGAATTTGATGTTTGGCTGTTACTTGTTTAAACACTTTTTGCTGTCAAGAGTTTATTCCAAGTAAAAGCTGATGCCCTTGCTTCTGTGTATATGTCCTTTAAAATATAATTATCTAAAAGCCAGATTCTTCACTATAATCCCCGATTTAGTGCAGATATCTGTAGGATTATTTTTACCATGACCAGAAAGCAGGAATTTATATTTCTTAAAGTGGTGTGTTAGTTATTAGGGTGGTCTTGTCAATGAATTGATCTAATTCCCCTTTAAAATACTCTCAGTTACTTTTCACTATAGTTACAAGAGCAGCCACATTTCAGCATGTATAACTAACTCCTCGCAGGGTAGAATCTGAGAAAAATATCCTGGAGCAATTTAGAGATCATCCCCACCCTTGAATATGTTTCTTTCTTCCCAAAACCTTTTGAAAAACGGGGGAAAAAAATCTAAAATACTTAAGACGCAAAATAAATTAGTCTCTATCTGGAAATGTTCAGACCAAAAATTATATATATAGGGAAGAATTATATGGAGCAAAATGTGTACTCCGCATTACTTTCTCCCTACCCCTTTTCCTCAGCTTTGTAGTACATCTTACTTTTTTATTGATGGAGGATGAATTCCAGAATATATGAATTTTCTTCTATTTTCAGAGTTAACGTTACTTGACTATTTCTCCTAATAGGCAAAAATGAAGGGATACTACATTCCTGAGGTCCAACAGCCTGTTGCCCCATTTGTAGGAAAACTAGAAACATTTACAGCGGTGCTTAAAAGATGTGAATCCTTTTGAGTTTTCAATATTTCATCATATATATGCCTTAACTATTACCTGTTCTCCAGGCAACTTAAATAAATTAAAAGCATACCAGATTAGATTCAGGTGTTACAATCAAAGGAATTATACTTTCTCCTTTAAATGAATTTGCATTCCTAGGGGTTCCAATACTTTTGCTACATGCAAATACATAGTTTTGGATTATTTTCCTCAATAATAAATAAATGGACAATGCTTTTTTCTCATTTAATATCTAGTTTTAGGACTTGTTGGGGAACCGATCACAAGATGATGTAGGTCCTCAACTGTGACTGGTTGAAATTGCAACGGATTTACCTGGAGGGGGTTGGTGGTACTTATGACCGGATTGCAAGTTGCCATGGTCACCTTTCCCTCCCCCCATCATGTGATTCCATTTTGAGTGCTTGACAACTGGACTACATTTACAGTTGTTTGCAGTGTCCTGTGATCACATGACTGCATTTTACAACGGTCTTGCCCAAATCCAGTATTTACAGTATTTTCAATTTTTTGCAAAACCATGCCCATAAGCAAATGACAGTTTGCGGCTGCTTTATGACCATGGTGTTTACTTAATAACTGCCACAAAAAGGTTATGAAATCAAGATAGTCAAGTGAGTTGACCTGCTTTATGATATCATGAGTTATGACCATGATTGGCAGGCTCCATTACAATCGTAACTTGAGAACTACCTGTATTTATGTAGAAATATTGAAAATTCCAAAGGGTTCACAGTTTTTAAATAGTCTTTTTTATACATTATTGAGACAGAGGCACCAGGGCAGCCATCTTAGGTTGTAGCAAAAATACTTTCTTTTGATAGATTGCTGTAAGTTAATAATTATTAATAAAGCTGCATGTCTCCATAAGTGATACTTTTTGCCCTTTACTCTGAGAAATGAATTGGACATGTTTCCTGTTTGTTCACAAAAGGAGCTGAAGAAATACGGCGTGACCACCTTGGTGCGAGTTTGCGATGCTACCTATGATAAAGCACCTGTTGAAAAAGAAGGAATACAAGTTCTGGTGAGTATTTTTCAATCTTTGGGAAGTACAATCACGAAGAGAATGGGACTGACAATATGGCAATTTTTCAATGTCATTGCTAAATGTCTCTTAAATGCTGTGGAATGTTCCTGCATCTGTGTAAAATTGGTTTGGAATCTGGGCTGTAAAGCAGCTTGCATTTTTCTCCCTGTAGGTCTATGACCAGTCAAGGTTTTGACTGTTACTCATTTAGAGGAAGAAGGTATAAGTAGTATCCTGTTCATATCAGAACAGACAAAAGATTTCATTCAAATTGGTCAGTTCAGCAGATAATACTGAACTAAGTTCTTAGATAGAGAAGTCACAGAGGAAAGAGTCACAGGTAGTTAACTGCCTGTTTTCTCAGCGACCAATGATTATGATCTGAGTAATGAATACTAGCATGTCGCTTTTTAGCGGCTGAGCATATTTTGATGTATGTTGCAAACCAGCCGAAAGGTATGAATGAGAAAATGGCTCAAGTCATATATATTGCTTGGCATCCTCTGTGTATATAGGTAGTCTTCAGATAATGTCTGTATAGAAGACTGGAATTTCCATTGCTAAGTGATGGGGTTGGGAAGTGTAAGATCATGTGACCATATTGCTTAGCAGCAGCAATCCTGGCAATCTCTGTTGCTACTATTAGCTAAATCCAACACAGTCATTAGGAGAGAAACAGGTAATTCTTGCTTAACAACCAGCCACTTAATAACCGTTTGAATTAATTATGACCTGTGAAGCACTTCTGATTTGTTGCAAAATGCCCTCCCCAGTAATGTGATCACTGTCTTGCTTAACCACTGCTTCACTTAGTGATTGAGATTCTGGTCCCAATTGTTATACATCCAGGTACTAATACTAAAGTCATTCCCAGCTTGTTCTCTCCCACCTCCAAGACTCAGTAAGGTAAGGGACTGCTTCCTTTTCAACTCCCCCCAGTGCTTATCTCTCCCACCCACCCCATCTCTGCCCTCTTGGCTGCCTGCCTATATTTTGCTACCAGCTGCTTCTGCACCCATCACTGCATACTACTACTGTACTGGCCAGGGCCTTTCCCGTTGCCTTCTTTTGCACTGGTGCAGCCAGGGCTTGCTTTCACGGCTGAGGTTATTTTCCATAAGAAAGCCCTGGATGGGACATGAATGGAGGAGGTCCTGGACAGGTCACAAGAGAAGTCCTGATTGCACCAGCGTAAAAGAAGGTGGTGCAAAGAAGGTCCCGACTATACAGTAGTGATGCATGATGTGGGCAGGGCCAGGTGGCAGGAATACCGGGTAGTAGCAGGTAGGTGGATGGTCAAAAGGCAGCTGTAAATGTGGGTGACCCTGAATTTTGTTTCTGTGACCACAGAGGCATTGCATTGGTCAGAACGTCAAGGACTGGACTTTTAGTCCCTTCATTCAGCCCTGATTGAATGGACATTAAACAAGGATTATCTGTAATTAAATTGAGCCAAGGAAGCTATGTGTATTTTAAAAAAACTTTTTTATCTCCATGCCAAGATCCCTAGACTCTTGTTGTTTTAGAAACAAGAATCTTAAAAATAAACTGATTTCTGAGAGTTGCTTTAAAAAAGAAAAGAGAGAACAGCATATCACAGAAAAACCATGGGGAAATCAGTTGAAAAAATACTTAAGAAATTCTGGTGAGGAAATTCACTGCTTTGGTTAACTTCTTCCACTGGCAGGAGGGACTAAGTGGGAATGATTGAAGCTGTAGGACCTCTATTTCATTACTTATTTGCATTTATCCCTTAACAATTTCAGTCTTTTGAAGTCTGTATGTTACTGGACCAAGTGTAAATGTGGGTTGAGTACAGATAATATTACACAGGTTATAGGTGTGATTCATTCAGGTTTAATGGAAAAATGTACTCTAGTAGTATCTTTGGCAATGCCTTAAAGAACTGAAAGTTTCCTAAAATTTTGCAGCTATGCTGTCTGATCCCAGGAGAATATGTTTTGTTTAAAGATTTACTGATGTGTGTATGTGTGTGTGTGTGTATGTATATATATATATAGGCACACAGTATAGAGAGAGTAAGATGTAGAGGATATATTTATGCTTACATTTCTTACAATGTTGATTAGACATCGAATGTTAAGATTTCAGAATGCATGTTAAAAGTAAAAACAAGTCCTATATTTCAATAAATGCAACTTTCTAAGGTGAAGTATGTATAGCTGTAATATAGTCTTAAATGCAATAAAAATTCAGGGAGTCAACTTCTCAGATTGTATTTTTGTTTTATTTAGAATAAAGTGGCATAAAATAGGGATGTGGCTGAAACATAAATTATTATGATATTCTGATTTCAGTTCCTATTCATTGATTAATCGTCATGAACCTAAAAGTTAGTAAAAGATTTTGCATAACTTTGCAAGTTTAAATATTCTGAGATCAAAATTAAGTACAGATAATAAAATATTGGGACTTGGATCCTGCTTTGATGTCAATATTTTCAAATAAGAAAATCTTACTTTCATAGATATTACTACAAACATCAACATTTGGAATAAATTATATATAATTAAAGGAAAAAACTTTTCTTGACTAGAAATTATGAAAATAATGAGAAAGAATAACAAATTACTATGAAAAGATCTTGGAATTCCTGTGCCTGTTCGGAAAATGATATTTATTTAAGAAATGCTTTAAGCTGGAAGATTAAATGGGATACCTTTCCCCCCCCCTCAAATTAAGTACTGATTTTTCTGAATGAAAACTCGGGGCCCTCTGGTCTTAATAGCCATCCTAATTTATTCCAGGCCAAAGCGTAGTCTTTGTAAAGATGGAAGTAAAGACATTTTCAAGAAGCTCAACTCGGTAGGCTTCTTGTCAGCATTACCAAAGTGGGCTGCTGTTGCTTTCTCCCAATATTATTTTTGGATCTTTTATACTTCTAGGAATTCCCAGCCTTGGAATTCCTAGAAGTTGCCCATCGCAAATTCTTTTTGGAGCTGACTCTGCTTTGATTTCAGCCTTAGCTAAAGTTGATTAGGAACGTGCCATCTTTGAGCTTAGCTTCAGTACATAAGTGTCCTATGTGTTTAATGTCAGCGTTAAATCTTAGGATCTCAGAAGGGTTTTTAATATTCAAAAAACATGTCTCATTTAATCTTCTAGCTCATGTAAGTACCATTAAACAATTACAGCCTGCTTTTCATACAGCTCTGTTCACTTCTTTTACTAGAAAAAGTGAACCAAATAAAAACTAACACAAGTTAGTTAAACAACCCCCCCACAACCAAAAAGCATAGTGTTTGGGAATTATTTTATTATTGTGAGACAAATTACTGTTTATAATTTAATTTACTTTTCCAGTCTTGAAGATGCTTTGATTGCTGTTCACATAATGGAATTTTTTAAAAAAGTGGATACACTTTTACTGTGTTCAAAAGAAAAGGTATTACAATTCTTTCCCCCCAAAAAGTAAGGAGTTTCTGGATTAATGATTTTTTTTTAATTTACTCAGTCATAAAGTACACAGAATTTATTTTCAGAGTATTTATAATTTTTTGTATGGTAGGCTAAAAGTATAAAAGATGAAACATTTATATTAGATGACAACAAACTTTTCTAGTTTGTTTCCACAGTTACATATCCAAATGGATATGAGGAAAATCCATATGGAGAATTATGCTTGGATTGATGCTAAATGCCATATTCCATTTTCTGGGATTTTGTTTTCTGTTCTGGAACCAAGCCAGAGTATAGTTCAAGTGTAGTTGAAATTTGTGTTGATTAAATAAAGAAAACCAAAAATTGTCAGCATGGAGACTAAATATGAACCTGAGGGATCACGGAGACCAGATAGAAATGCTCTGTTTAAATAATCATAAGGAAAATTAGCTTTTGGTTGTGTCTAAAAAAGTATAATTTTTATTAAGTAGTAATGCAACTTTACAAATAAGTTAAAACAATATGTTTAAAATGTACATTTAGCAAGTGCATTGTAAAGCTCTTGTTTGTAGTTATAGTGGGGATGGAAAAGTAACTTTCCGACCAATCCTTGCATTTACAACCTTCACAGATCTGTAAAGCAAAGGAAAAGTGGAGTAAGATCATAAGCAGAGTCACAGTTTCACTTAGCAACAGCTTTGATCAACAACTAAGTAGTTGGTTCAACTTGTGGTAGTTAAATGAAGACTATGCCCATGATGGCGAACCTATGGCACGTGTGCCACATCGGTGGGCACATGAGCTCAGCTCCGGCGCGCATGCATACGCTGGCCAGCTGAAGGACCCTCTGGAGGCCAAAAACGGCCCACTTCACCGGAAGTCCCACCTGAGCAGAGGGTGGTCTAAAAGACCTCCAAGGTCCCTCTAGCACTATGGTTCTATGACTGCTAAACAAGTTTTGATTTAAGAATCATCTCATTCTCTTTTCCCCTCTCCTCCTAGTTGGAAGCTTCCTAAAAGAGGCTTCACATATTTTGCCACTTTTCAGAAATAGAGCTGAATAGTTACCAGATTAAGGTGGGGAAAATGTATTAGTGAATTCTACAGAGTACTTGTAGGCCAGGGAAATTCAAGTAGAAATCCTTCCAAACCAACAGATGACCTTGGCCTTGCTACCTCCCACTTTCTTAATTACAGGGTAATTTAAAGCAATTTAAAAATTACAATTCAAAGATACCCTTGTAATCTTGGCTTTTTGTTTGAGAACTAAGATGGGTCCAAGGTGCCTATAGAATAGTTCACTGATCTTGCCTTGGCAGATTACATTTAATTCCAATGCCCTCTTTTATCATGTTGGTAAACAAGCCCTCATAAGGACAGCATTCCATAAAGGAAAAGAGAAGGGGGTGGTCATGGGATTTTATTGAGATTAATCCATGGCAGTTGTTGAAACATCACAAGTTCATGTGTTGGCTTCCAAGAATAGCTTGTGCTTGAAAAGCAGGCATGATTAAAGATAACAAAATTCTTTTCTAAGAATGGTTTCATTAGAAGGTGTCACAGAGAAGTCACTGTGTCTGGAACAAAACATAACT